GAGCACAACAGTGTAACCCCAAATGGAGATTTCCAGGACCATCTAGATTTCCAAGGTGCATCAAGAAACACCTGGGCAGATACAAGAGCAAGAAAAGGCTCTAATGCTTCTGATAAGGCACATTTTTGAAAAACAGCTGAATACCATAAAATATGTGACTGGACCTCACGGTAAACCTGAGATAATTCATTAAGAACCTACTTTTGGATCAGATCTTCTTTAGGAACAAAGCAAGACTAGGGGTATGGAGTCAACATTTAGGCATCAGAAACATTTGTTACACAGCATTATACCTCCTTTGGTTGCTCACAGGTTAAAACCAATCAGACAGAAAGCCAAAAAGACAGTGGTGAGCATACTCAATACGGAGCAAGTATATGTGGAGCTTCTAATGAAGCACACATCTTAAGAATATGCAAAACAAGTTCTTCGACTATCTAGTGATGGGAATGTGATCACTGTTTATTATCCAAATGATGGAAAAGCCTTTCCTCTTACTGATCGACCACCCTCAACTAATAACAATATCACTAGGTATAAGTTTGACTATTTACCAGAAAAATACTGGAAAAAAATACCAGTATGCTTCGAGATTTATACATCTCATAAGATCTACATCTCCAAAAATGACCTATTTGACAAGATATACTAAGTGTATTTTGATGGAGAATTCTCCTAATGCTGATTTTGAAGTTTGGTTTTAGGATGTAGCAGAAAAGACACAAAACAGAAAATTCTATTCAAGTGATTGAAAAGACCAGAAAAATCTTATGATTTAAAATAGGAGAATGAGCCAGATGTGGTGGCACACACCTTTGTAGCTGAGGCTGATCTTAAAATTTGTAGCTTAAGGCCAGGTAGATAGCTCAGTAGAATAAGCACCTGTCAGGCAAAGTGAGCTTAAGTCCAGCCTGAGCTACATAATGAGACCCTGTCTCCCAAAATATAATAATAATAAAATAAAATATGAAAGTGAAGTCAATAGCCTGAAAGAGAAAACAAAAATGTACATGGAGGTGTGAGTGAGAACGCCCAGGGCTG